TCCCCTTTCTCCGCATCCCTGCCAACATCTGTCGTTTCCTGACTTGTTCATTTTAGCCATTCTTAGTCATTCTTTTTTATTTCACTCTTAAATTACCTGTCCCAAAATGCTGACTTTCTATTTGACCCATTGCAAATGAGATCAGACATGAACCGATCAGGTATTAACGGGCATTTGAGGTGTTTCTAAAATATTCTGTTATTACAAACCTTACTGCAATGAATAATTTTTACTCAAGTCACTTCACATATGTGGGTGTGGCCAGCAAGCCACTTAATGGTTTACAAACGTACATCTAAAACACTAGCAGCAATATCTTACAGCAGAGAGGCCTCCCTTGTAAGTTCCTGATTTGTAACATTGCCAAATGGCATCATTGCTGAAAGTACTCACTTGATCTCTAATAGGTATAATTGAATTTGTTTTCTTTTTTCCTAAACCTGCTCCTTTTTTTGCATTACATATTTGGCTTAATGACTAACCATCTACATGGTCACCCAAAATGGAAAATTCAGTCATCTTTAATGCCTTCCTCTCACTCTTCTAGATTTCTTGTTATATGAGATCTGAGCACTCCTACCTCTCCATTTTCTTGGTTACTTCTGTAGTTGATGCCTTTGTCCTCTACTGGGACAATTTCAGTGTTCTCTGTATTATCAGCAAGTATTTACTGTACTTCTCCAGGTTGTGCACTGGGGATATAGTCGTGAGTGTCCCAGGTAGAAGAGAAGTCAGGATTTTGAACACAACCTCTTAAGTGCAGTTCAAGTTTTCTTTCTAAAATGCTGATGATTCTCCTACTTAAACACATTTAGCGCTCTTCTCTATGTGTGATATATCGCTCAGAACAAAACAAAACAAAAATAGAGAAGACCTCTTTGTGCCTTCCAAGTATAGATGAAGGCTAACTTCTTTTTTTTTTTTCTTAAGAGACAGAGAGAGGGAGGAGGAGAGGGGGTGGGGGAGGGGTAAAGAGAGACGGGGAGAGAGAAAATCTCAAGCAGACTCCCTGCTGAGCACAGAGCCCTATGTGGGGCATGTTCCCATGACCCTGAGATCATGATTTGAGCTCAAATCAAAGAGTCAGATACTTAACCCACTGAGCCACCCAGGTGCCCCCCAAAAGATCACTTTCATCACTTACAAAGTTGATTCTGAAGAATCTGTTAGGTTGTCCTTATACTGAACTCTGGCAGCAAATAGACCTACCCATCCAAAACCCATCCACAAGTCCATGGAGAGGCAGAGGAGAACACAGGGAACACTTCTATGAGGGAAGTTCATTCTGAGAGAGCGAAGACAGTTGTACACTCTTGTTTCTGGTTTCTTTGCTTAATAGTCATCAGTAATGTTGCTTATATAGTTACTCATTTTTACTGCAGTACAGCTGTGTTTGTATCACAATACATTAATCCATTCTACTGTTTTTTTTTTAATTTTTAAAAAATATTTTATTTATCCGTTTGTCAGAGATAGAGAAAGCACAAGCATGGGGAGTGGCAGGCAGAGGGAGACGCAGGCTTCCTGCCGAACAGGGAGCCCGATGTGGGGCTCGATCCCAGGACCCTGGGATCATGACCTGAGCCGAAGGCAGAAGCTTAACCCACTGAGCCACCCAGGCGTCCCTAATCCAATCTACTGTTAATGTACACATTATCATAAATGTCTTTTGGTGAACATAATGTGTGCATTCTAGTGAATAGATTCCTAGGAGTGGAATTGCTCGGTCATAGAATACGTATGTTTAGCTCTCATGGATATTACTCAGCAGCTGTGGTTGTTCCAATTAAGACTCTTCATCAGTAGTGTTTGAGATTTCCACTAGCTCCACATCCTTGCCAACACTTGATATTTTCTGTCTTGTTTTACTTGAATCGTTTTGTTGGGTGTGTAGCGGCATCACTACATTGGACTAATGAAATTGAGCTGCTACTTCTTTGCTTCTTAGTCATTTAGATATTGTCTTTGTCCATTTTGGGTTTTTCTGCCTTTTCATTATAGGTTTATAAGAGTTCATTACATTTTACTGATACAAATTTTTTGTTGAATATATGATTGCAGATATCTCTACTTATTCCATGACAGCTTTTCACTCACTTTATCCTGGCTTTTAATGAACGAAAGTTTTAACTTTAATTTCTAGTTTACCAATGCTTTCCTTTATGTCCTGGTTAAGAAAATTTTGTCTATTTCTTGCCAGTTCCAAGGTCATGAAGATGTTCTCTTTTGTTTTCTTCCTTTTTTTTTTTTTTAAGATTTTATTTATTTGTTTGACAGAGAGAGACAGTGAGAGAGGGAACACAGGCAGGGGGAGTGGGAGAGACAGAGGGAGAAGCAGGCTTCCCGCTGAGCAGCGAGCCAGATGCGGGGCTCAATCCCAGGACCCTGGGATCATGACCTGAGCTGAAGGCAGATTCTTAACTGACTGAGCTACCCAGGCATCCCTCTTTTGCTTCCTTCTTAAAAAGTTACTTTTTTAAGCCTTTCACATTTAGGTGTAAAGTATATCTGGAATTGACTTCTGTGTCTGGTGTGAGGAGTCAAGACTGATTCTTTTTTATAAGGATCTCTAATTGACTTGCACCATTACTGAAATGACCATCCTTCCCGTTACTACAATCTCATCTATGTCATAAATCAGGATTAATTCTGGGTCTACTTCTAGACTCTGTTTCATTGGTCTTTTTGTCTATCCTTGTGTCTAAACTCATCATCAGTAGGATTTATAATTGTTAACTGGTAGTATAAATCCTTCAGCTTTGTTCTTCAATAGTGATTTGTACTATTTTTATTGTTCTTTGCATTTTCATTAACATTTTGAATCAGTTTGTAAATTTCCACCAAAAATTCTGCTGGGATTTTATTGTGATTATGTTGAACTTATACATCGGTTTGGAAAGACTCACATTTTTATAATATTGAATCTTGCAGTTCATGACCATGGTATATCTTAATATATATGTCATTTAATTTCTTTCAATAATATTTTTTAGTTTTCAATAAAGAGTTATTTCATTTGTTTTATTACTAGGTATTTGATATTTTTATTCCTAGGTGCTTGAGATAGCCCTAGATATTTGACAGTTTTTTTAGA